AGTGTGTGTGTATGTATGTGTGTTTGCGTGTATCCGTGCTTGTGTGTGCGTTTGTCTGCGTGCGTGTATGTGCGTGTGTGTCGAACGATCGAAGGCGCACGTCCAGCCACAGCGCATGCAACTGACCGTGACCTGCCTCAACGAGGACTCAAAGGTCAAGGCTCCGGAGAGGCACGCAACCAAACAAGAGCCGCTCGATGCAAACGCATCGAGCCCGAAACGGATCAGAACTCACACCAATCACCACAGTGCACGCCAGCGAACGCTCTATCACGAGAGGAGCGGCTTCCCTGCTGGCGTCTTCCTCCCAAGGATGTAAACACGCCACCTGGACCTCCCCTTCTCCGCACAAGTGACGCAGAAAAGAAAAGCGGGGAGGCTGCCAAGGCATGAACTGCTGAGCCCATGGGCCTTGCGTCCGGAGTGTGTGTGTGTGTGTGCGGGTGTGTGTGTGTGTGTGCGTTGTGTGTGTGCGTTTGTGCAGGCGCGAGTGTCTGTAAATGTTTGTGTTTGCGTGTGCGCGCGCGTGTGTGTGTGAGTATGTGCGTGTGCGTGTGCGTGTGCGTGTGCGTGCGCGCATGTGTGTGTGTGTGCTTTCTATGCCCTGTTGCTGCGCGCAGGGCCGCGACGAACAAAAATGCATGTGTGTAAATGTGTGCGTGTGCGTGTCGCTCGTATTCGTGTGTATGTGTCTGTGCGTGCGTGCGCGTGTGCGTGTGCGTGCGCGTGCGCGTGCGCGTGTGCGTGCGTGCGTGCGTGCGTGCGTGCGTGCGTGCGTGCGTGCGTACGTGCGTGCGTGCACGCGCGCGCGTGTGTGTGCGTGCGTGTGTGTGTGTGTGTGTGTGTGTGCGTGTGTGTGCGCGCGTGTGCGTGTGCGTGTGTGCGTGTGTGCGTGTGCGCGCGTGTGCGCGTGTGCGTGTGTGCGCGTGTTCGTGTGTGTATGTATTTGTGTGCGTGCGAGGTGCCGACTGCGGCGGGCGGAGCGTCGAAACTCCCGGCCACTGCGCGCTGGACACGGGAGCAGCGTCGAGGCCACCCGAGGTCCCGACACCGCAGGCCTAAGCAGGCCAGATGAGGCAGAGCCCCATCCTGGAGCCGAGGGGCCCTTCCGGGGGCACCCGAGCGACCCCAGGCGGGCCACGCGGGCGCGCGGCACGCCAAAGCCCGAAGGCCCCGGGCGACCCCTACAGCAGGAGCCCGACCACGAGAAACCTTCCACAAGGAACCCAACCCCGAGACCTCGTGGAGTCCATTGACTCTTGGTGTGGGAACGTCACGTCACGCTCTCCACAGCAGAGCCACATGGACATCCAGGAAGCCCAGGGCACCCTGGAGGCGAGCAGGGGTGCTTCTTTTGGCAGGGGCTTCCACTGCAGGGGCCGCCAAGACTGGCGTTAAGTCGGGCCTGTCCCCCTACAGAGGAATTTTCGACGAAACCCAAAAAATACCCCCAAAATAACCAAAAAATAATCCAAAAATAATCTGGGGACTATCCTTATAATATCGTTTGACCTTTTGGGGGGCATTTTCGGGGTATTTCTTATTTTTCGTCGAAAATCCCCCTGTAGGGGGACACGCCCGACTTAAGCCTGGCGCCCAGGTGTGCCCCCGCGGAGGGGCGCCGCCCGCCGTAGCCCCGGCAGCCGGAGGCGAGCGCTCCTCCGCCGCCTCTCCCTCTCGGCGGGCGGCGGTGCACTCGGCAAAGACGCGCCGGGGCAATCAGCGCCCCTCAAACGGGGACTCCACTAACGGGTACTTTGGCCAGTGACCCAGCGAACCCAACCCTCCCCGATGTGGGCAACGCTGCAATGCCAGAAAAAGGCCCTAAAGTGGCAACTTTCGGCAAAATTTCAAAGTACCCGTTAGTAAGTACCCGTTACGGTGCCGTTGAGGCAGGGCCGCCCGGAGCCTCCCGGCCCCGCGCAGCACATGCTTGGGCTCATGTTGTTCCCATCCTGCTTCAGGACCGCATCCCGGAAATCATCTCGAGCACCCGGAAAGGTGCCAGAAGCGTGTCGACACGGTGTCGAGACAGCGTCGGGCGAGTGTCTCCCAGGGCCCGGCACGTGCAAACCCTTGAGTTTCGGTCATTTAATTGGGGCTCGAAATTCTTTCTGGTAGTCAAGGCTCAAGTAGGTTGGAGCATCACAAACTGGCGGCGTGCACAAGGGGGTGGGGGAGGGGGAGGGCTTCTTAGAAGCAGGCTGTGCTTCTCCAGAAGGCGCCGGCCCTTCATCTATATATAAGCCCGCGCCCTCTTAAGAAGCAGGGGGCTTCTAAGAAGCCCTCCCCCCTCCCCCCACCCCCCTCCTCGGCATCGCTCGGACGTCCATTTCCCGTGCATTTTTCGGTTTCGTGCGTGCTTTTTTTTTGTTTGCTCGATGGTCCAGGATGGTCCTCGATGGTCCCCGCCGAAAAAAAATGCACACGTCCGAGCGATGCCAGGCCTCTGCGCGTGGCCGAAGAAACTCAGGCGCCGCCTCGCGCCCCCGGTCCCCGACGGCCTCGGCCCCGCGGCCCGAGCCGGCGGCCTCGGCGCGAGCACCGGGGCGGGCGCAAGGGCAGAGGGAGGGGGCGCTGCTCGCTCCCGCGGCGACGCATTCTGCACGTGGGCGCGGCCCCTCAGAAGCGCCCTCTTGTTCTGCCTTATATTTTTAAAAATGTGTTTGGGGTCTGCCTTTTTCTGTGCTGCCTTCTTCTTGTGTCTTTCCTCTTTTTTATGTTTCTTTTGTTCGAGCTCACCCGCAGCGTCGCGGTCGGCACCCTAGCTCACCCGCAGCGTCGCGGTCGGCACCCTCGCCCCGCCATGCCTCGCCTCGCAGCGCAGCTCCTTCCTCGGCGCCTGCGCTGGGCGTGGCGGGGGGCGGCGGTCGCCAGCCAGGCAGCCCTCGCCGCGGAGGCAGCCCAGCGCACGTCGGCCCGCACACCCGGGGGCACGACCGAGGCAGGCCTGGCTGCCCTCGGCCCCTCCCGCGCAGAATCGTCGGACAGCTGCGGCACCGCTGGGCCCCTCTGCGAGCGTTGTGCAGCCCACCTCTTGGTATCTTTCACCGCTGCACGGGTGGAGGGGGCGGTTCTTAGTCAAGGCGGTGCGCTCGCCTGAGTTGCAGGCCCATTGTGTTTTCGTCCTTCAAGGGGGGCGCCTCCCGCAGTGGAAGCTGAATGCCTGTGAGGGCTTGCGATGGGGGAGCCTCTGGGACGGGAGACTGCAGCAGCGTCGCTGGCGCATCCTGGGATTACTCTGGTCCTCCTCCTCGTCCTCCTCCTCCTCCTCCTCCTCCTACCTCGTCCTCCTCCTCCTCCTCCTCCTCCTCCTCCTCCTCCTCCTCCCTCCTCCCTCCTCCCTCCTCCCTCCTCCCTCCTCCTCCCTCCTCCCTCCTCCTTCCTCTGCCTCCCTCTCGCTCCCTGCCCCTGCCCCCCTGTACCCTCCCCCTCTCCTCCGATGCCATGCTATGCCGTGCTATACCATGCCTCGCGTTCTCTCTCTCTCTCTCTCTCTCTCTCCCTCTCTCTCTCTCCCTCTCTCTCTCTCTCTCTCCCTCTCTCTCTCTCTCTCTCGGGATCACTGCCCCATTCGACGTCCGACCGTGCGAACATAGAGAGGAGATCTGCACCACGGCAAGGGATGGGAGGGAGGGGGCAGGACGCCAGACGTGACGTTTGCGCACCTAGCCCGACCCTCCCCCTCTCTCCGCCGCCCGGCCGCCCTCCTCCCGCCCCCGATCCGCCTGACAGTTCACGTCCCCCAGGAAGCCGCCGAAGGCGACCGCCTGTGGCGCGCGCGCGCGGGCGCGCGAGAGGAGGGGCTCGGGGGGCACGGGTCAGTCGAGCTCGCCGTCTCCCGCGGTCGGACCTGGGCCAGAAGAGCATCCTTCGAGAGCACGAGACCCTCCTCCGCCGGCCAAGCCACCCCAAACCATGGCATCGCTCGAGGGTGCCCTCCCCAGGATGCACAAGAACATCAGACAAACACGAAGAACAACAGGGAACCCTCCCCGATCCGACTTCGATCTTATAACCTCGGTCCGACCGTAAGATCACGTCGCGTCCGATCCTCCTCTCTCTCTCTGACTCCTGCTGATCCCCCTGCTCTTCATACATCCTTCCTCCCTGCGCTATTCATCGTGCCTCATCCACTCGTCTCTCGCCCCCGTCCTTTCATTTCCCTTCCCCCATCTCTTCTTCACTCCATCCATCTCTCTTCCATCCTCCAGATTCCCCCCTCTCCAACTCATCATCCTCTGCCTTCTCTTCTGCCTCCTTTGTCCTTGAAACCGCCTCCTTCCTCAATTACCCGTTCTACCTCCCCCTTTCTTTCGCGAGGCCTCAATCATACATCTGACGGCTGGTGGCTCGCAGCTTTGGTCAAGGCCCTCACTGCTTCTACCGCTTCCTCCAGCGCGATAGCCTCCGCAATAAAGGAAGAAGCAGGATCAATAATCAACGTGCCTGCGAGTAGCACTAAGTCGGGCGTGTCCCCCTGCAGGGGGATTTTCGACGGAAAAGCAAATACAAAACAAATGCTCCCAAATGGTCAAACCTCCGCAAAAAATAGTCCCCATACTATGTTTGACTAGTTTGGAATATTCGTCCTGTGGAGGGACGGGCCCGACTTCAGAGTAGCACTGGAATCGTTACTTCGCGCCCCTTTTTGCGAACAGCGGACTCCACGCACCAAGCCGCAGCCGAGAGCACGTCCCGGCACGAGTGCCCCTATCTGTGCACACGAAGGTGCTCGCACTAACATAAAGTCCTCGGCTGAAATGCATCCACATTGAAACTGCAGCTGCCGCATGTCCATCTTGTATGGGACGCACAGAGACATACCAGTACTATGTGTCTTCCTTGGAGGTGCGCGTCCGACCCGAACATATAGTATACCCAGCTTGTAGTAGATCCTCCTCCTCCTCCTCCTTCTCGTCCTCCTCGCCGCCCTCCTCCTCTTCCTCCTCCTCCTCCTCCTCCTCCTCCTCCTCCTCCTCCTCACCCTCCTCCTTCTCCTCATCCACCTCCTCCTCCTCCTCCTCCTCCTCCTCCTCCTCCTCCTCCTCCTCCTCCTATCTCCTCCTCCTCCTCCTCCTCCGCCTCCTCGGCCTCCTCCTTCTCCTCCTTCTCCTCCTCCTCCTCCTCGCCCTCGTCCTCCTCCCGTCCTCGTCCTCGTCCTCCTCCCCTCCTCCTCCCACCGCCACCTCCTCCTCTTCTCCTCCTACTCCTCCACTTCCTCGGCCTCCTCCTCCTCCTCCTCCACTTCGTCTCCTCCTCCTCCTCCTCGTCCTCTCCTCCTCCTCCTCCTCCTCCTCCTCCCTCCTCGCCGCCCTCCTCCTTTCCTCCTCCTGCTCCCCTCCTCCTCCTCCTCCCCTCCTCACCTCCACCTCCACCTCCACCTCACCTCCAACTCCTCCTCCTCTTCTCCTCATCCTCCTCGCGCCTCTTCTCCTCCCCTCCTCCTCCTCGTCCTCGTCTCGTCCTCGTCCTCGTCCTCCTCCTCGTCCTCCTCGTTCCTCCTCGTCCTCCTCGTCCTCGTCATCTTTCTCCTCCTCTTCTCCTCCTCCTCGCCGCCGCCCTCGTCCCTCCTCCTCCTCCTCCTCCTCCTCTCTCTCCTCCTCCTCGTCCTTCCTCGTCCTCCTCTCCTCCTCCTCCTCCTCCTCCTCCTCCTCCTCCTCCTCATCCCCTCCTCCCCCCCCCCTCCTCCTCCTCTTGCTCCCTCCTCTTCCTCCTCCTCCTCCTCCTCTTCCTCCTCCTCCTCCTCCTCCTCCTCCATCCCTGCTCCTTATGTGTTCCTCCTCTCTGTCGCACCCCGAGGCCAGGTTTTAGGGCGGGCGCTTCGCCTGAGACGTCCTCACCACTTATGACCCTGAAGCTTAGAATGTAGCAACCGTATTACAGACGGAGGGCGGGCCGTCTTCGAAATGTTGCTCTCGCCTTAGCGCCGCGCACATTCGCTTTAAACATTTGCAAGAGCTTCACGGATTGAGGGTGGGTGGTTGTCAAGATGTGGCTCTCGCCTTAGCGCCGCGCACATTCGTTTGAAACATTTGAAAGCTTCACGGATTGAGGGCGGGTCGTTTGCAAAATGTGGCTCTCGCCTTAGCGCCGCGCACATTCGTTTGAAACATGTGAAAGCTTCACGGATTGAGGGCGGGTCGTTTGCAAAATGTGGCTCTCGTCTTAGCGCCGCGCACATTCGTTTTAAACATCTGCATGAGCTTCACGGATTGAGGGCGGGTGGTTTTCAAACTATGGCTCTCGCCTTAGCGCCGCGCACATTAAAGCTTGCAAGTGTTTCGCGGGGTTCCCATGATCAACGCACCAGGAACTGTGTTATGGATGGAATCATGATTATGCGGGTGCAACAGTTATGTTGATTCGGTGGGGTGAAGTCCCAAGAATGGCGTTCTGGCACGATTCTGGATCATCAAGGCGCAAAATTCAAGTTGATACGTGGCGTTGCATTCCCGAGAACAATGTTTTGGCACGCTTCAGGATCTCCAAACCGTTCCCTTCCAACGAGGCAGTTCCCCCAATGGAAATGAACCGTTGTAGGGGCCTATGAAGAGGGAGCTTGGAGGGAGGGTTAATTCCAACATCGTTGATGACTCTTGGGTTTCCACTGGTCCTCCTCCTCCTCCTCCTCCTCCTCGCTCCTCGCCGCCCTCCTCGCCGCCCTCCTCCTCCTCCTCCTCCTCCTCCTCCTCCTCCTCCTCCTCCTCTCGCGCTCCTCGCCGCCCTCCTCGCCGCCCTCCTCCTCCTCCTCCTCCTCCTCCTCTCCTCCTCCTCCTCCTCCTCCTCCTCCTCCTCCTCCCTCCCCTCCCCCTCCCCCTCCCCTCGCCCCTCCCCCTCCCCCTCCCCTCCCCTCCTCTTTCCTCCTCCTCTCCTCCTCCTCCTCCTCCTCCTCCTCCCCTCGTCCTCGTCCTCGTCCTCGTCCTCGTCCTCGTCCTCCGTCCTCCTCCTCCCCTCCTCCTCCTCCTCCTCCTCCTCCGCCTCTCTCCCTTCCCTCCCCTTCCCCCTCCCTGTTCGGTCTTCCTTCCGTCCGGAGGCTCGCCTCCAGGAGCACCCTCCTGAGCTCCCCCGCCTGGAAGCGCAGCACGCTGCCCTGCAGCACCCGCTTCACGCGGCGCTCGGTGTCCCGCTTGGACCCGTCGGCCTGCGGCGGAGGCGGCGTGCTCCTCCTCCTCCTCCTCTCCTCCTCCTCCTCCTCCTCCTCCTCCTCCTCCTCCTCCTCCTCCTCTCCTCCTCTCTCCTCCTCCTCCTCCTCCTCCTCCTCCTCCTCCTCCTCCTCCTCCGCCTCCTCCTCCTCCTCCTCCTCCTCCTCCTCGCTCCTCGCTCCTCGCTCCTCGCTCCTCGCTCCTCGCTCCTCGCTCCCCGCCCGCTCCCGTCCTCGCCCTCCCCCGCATGTACCTCAGAAGCGCTCTGCGCGAATCCTCCTCGATTCCTCGCCGCCTCGTGCCCCCCCTTTTATCCTCCTCCTGTCTCCTCGCCCTCGCACGCGTCGTCCTCCTCCTGCTCAGCCTGGTCTTCCGCAGAATCCTTCTCCTCCTCCTGCTCCTGCGCCTACTCCTACTCCCCACCACCCACCACCACCACCACCACCACCTCCTCCTCCTCCTTCCTCCTCCTCCTCCTCCTCCTCCTCCTCCTCCTCCCCTCCTCCTCCCCTCCTCCTCCCCTTCCAGCTCATCCCGCAGCGGGTTGACAAACGCACAAACGTCCCTCCCTTCCCATGCTGTCCCTGGCCCCACGAGACCCTGGATCATTCAAGCACTGGGAAGCCAAAGTACCGAGATGATGTAAGCTGTAACGCACGTGTCAATATGGCGCGCTTCGACTTGAGATGGCCTCAGAAGGCCACTCAGAGCCCAAAGCAGGGCCGAGAAGCTCCCAAAATGGCCCAAGACCGCTCCGAGGCGACCCAAGACGGCCCGAAGACAACCCGCAAATCCCCCAAGACGGCCCAAGGCCACCCCAAAACGGCTCCAAGCCGGCCCCAGGATCCGACCAGACCGCCCCAAGATGAGTCTACCGACCCTCCTCGTGAGAGCCCAGCAGAGCTATCTCGCCAAGTACGGCCCGATACTCCCCCGACAGCACGCTCCCAAGAGGCGCCCGAGCAGGCCCCCCGATCCCCCAGGAGACGGCAAGAGGCAACGCAACGGCCATGCGGCACAACCGATCGCTCTCTGAAGAGACGGGCAGCGCCGCTCTGCGTGAATCTCAGTGGTGCCATGGCACGGCTGCGAGCCCTGCCGCGGGCAGCTGCACGTGATGCTGCCATGCGATCGGGTATTGATTTGCCATAATGCCCTCAGGCCCCTCGAGTTCTCCGTCCTCAATCTGAGTACAATCAAAAACCCTAATAAGGACGCGCGGTAAGGACGCGAGACCCTTGGAAGCCGAAGTTGGGATTTTTGGGGCGGCGGGCGACGAAAACCCCAAGGACGCAAGAGCAAGGAAGAGCTAGGACGCAAGGGTGCCCTGAGCAACGTCGCGCGTCCTCATCAGGGTTTTTGACTGTATGCGGGGGCCCAGATCCCAAGTGGCCGGATTTTCGGGGGCGAAGGCATGAACGATTCTTGCCCCGGTGCCGGTGCCGGTGCCGGTGCCGGTGCCGGTGGGCGAGAATCGTTCTATAGTGCGGGGGCGTGGCGCGTGCCCCCGCGCGCTGCCGCGCGGCTCTCCTGGAGGCACGAGGGCCCCCGGACGACAGCGAGGGCCCAAGAGGCCCCCCCGAGGCGGCCCAAGGGGGCCACGAGTCGCCCGGAGGTCCTGCCCGGGCAGCCAAGATAGGGGGCCACACGCGAACCTACCCCTACACCCTGCGAAATGCTTAAGAAATCATGGGTTAAGAAACTCATAGTCTCAGAACTTGAGTAAAAACCCAAATTTCTATTGAACATCTTGGGATTTACATTGAAACATTAAGAACCATCGAGACTCTGGACGAAAACTTAGGTTTTCTTAAGCATCGCCTAGGGTGTACCCCTACCCCCCACGATTTCTGAGGGGGAGGGTGGGGTTCACTTCGCTCGTGAGCTCCCAGACGAAGTGAACCCCACCCTCCCCCTCAGGAATCGTGGGGAGTGGGGGTAGGGTTCGCATGCGGCCCCCTACAAGAGGGCCTCTAGACGGCCCCAGAGGCCTCCAGGACGCCGCAAGGAGGGCTCCAAGAGGCCCCCCAAGATGGCCCTAAGAGGCCCAACTCAATGACTCTCCGTAGATTTCAGCTGTCCCAGATGGGCCCAAGAGAGCCCCAGAAGCCCCCAAAACTGCTCCAAGAGGTGGAACTCCAACTGGCACGTCATGCTCTCCGCCCCAAGATGACCCCCGAGACCACCAGCAGGCCCCCAAGGGCCCCCCAAGAGGCCCAAATCAGGCCCCAAGAAACCCCCCAAAGCCCCAAGGTACACCCAAAACCGCCTCCAAGAGGCTTCCGAAAAAAAGGCGTCCCAGGATATCCCCACAGGCATCCAAGAGCAGCGGTGGCGGGACGGGCCGAAGGCCATCAGATATCTGCGCACCTGCATTTTCGTATGCTATGTTTCACTGCGCAGTGGCACGCTACGTTATTCGGACCAGTAGTTGCTCATTTGTGAGATGCCGCGTTGTCAGAAGAGGGAACCACCAAGTCAAGGTCGCGCTGGACTCATGTGTGACACGGTCTAGCTTAACCAGCTTGTATAGCGAGATTCACCCTCGAGCTGCAGCAACAAATAATATGAGCACACACTTGCAAGCATGATTCTGGAGGTAGCGCAACACATCAGCAGCTGTTGCGGCGACAGCAGGCTCGCCGAGGGTGAGAAGGCGTGTGAGCTGATGGGTTGCCATGTTTCCCCGTTCCCCTCCCCCCGTGGTCCAAAGAGCGAAAGAGCGCCAGTGGATCACCTTGAAGACACAAAAGGGGGGGTGTGCTCCAGGGAACCCCTCCCCCCCCCTCCCCCCCTTAAGGGGGGGGGGGGGGTCCCGAGAACCCCCCCGCCCCCTTCCCCCCTTTAAGGGGGGGGGGGGGTTTCGAACCCCTCCCCCCCCCCCCCTTTGAAAGGGGGGGGGGGGTTTCGGAACCCCCCCCCCCCCCTCCCCCCTTGAAAGGGGGAGGGGGGGGTTCGAACCCCCCCCCCCCCCCCCTCCCCCCCTTTCTCAGGGTTCCGGTGCGAGTCGAGCCGAGCGCGCGGACTGTTGGACGTAGGGGCCGCCCCCGACGGCCCCTACGTCCAACAGTCTGCGCGCGAGGCGAGCGAGGTTTAGGGTTTAGGGTTAGGGTTAGGGGTTAGGGCTTAGGGTTTAGGGTTTAGGGTTTAGGGTTTAGGGTTTAGGGTTTAGGGTTTAGGGTTTAGGGTTTAGGGCTTCTCTTAGCGCAGCGGCCGACAGTCCAGGCAATGCTGCCCCCCCTTCGGCAAGCTTGATTGGGGGGGCGGTTAGCCGACCCGAGCAAGCTTGGCGAAGGGGGCAGGAGGTGCAACATCTTCCCACCCCCGGCCGCATGGCCGGCAACCTCCCAAACTAAAGCCTTTTAGGGTTTAGGGCCGTTGGCCCCTAAATTCCCAAATGCGTTCCAAGCGCTCCCAGGCGTTCCCTGGCGCTCCCAGGCGCTCCCAGGCGCTCCCAAGCGCTTTCAAGCGCTCCCAGGCGCTCCCCGGCGCTCCCAGGCGCTCCCGGCGCGTTCCGAAGCGCTCCCAAGCGCTCCCAGGTGTCCCTGGCAATCCCAAGCGCTCCCAGGCGCTCCCAGGCGCTCCCAAGCGCTCCTAGGCGCTCCCAAGCGCTCCCAGGCGCTCCCGGCGCGTTCCCAGGCGCTCCCAAGCGCTCCCAGACGCTTCCAGGCGCTCCCTGGCGCTCCCAAGCGTTCCCAGGCGCTCCCGGCACGCTTCCAGGCGCTCCGAGGCGCTCCCAGGCGCTCCCAGGCGCTCCCAGACGCTCCCAGGCGCTCCCAGGCGCTCCCAGACGCTCCCAGGCGCTTCCAGGCGTTCCAAGGCGCTCCCAGGCGCTCCCAGGCGCTCCCAGGCGCTCCAGGCGTCCCAGGCGTCACTCAGAAGAAAAGGTCTTTGGGTTTAGGGTGTTATATTCGTTGAGGATCAGGGGAGGGTTTATCGTTGAAGCGCGAATCCCCAAAAGAGGGGGAGGGCAGCAGCAAAAGCTGCCACAAACACTCGGGCTACATGCTGAAGCGTCTCAGAGATGCCCTGTCTCTCGTAGACGGCGACGGTGATGCGCGGTGGGGTGGGCAGAAGCACAACGAGGTGCTTGGGAATTTAGGGTTTAGGGTTTAGGGTTTAGGGTTTAGGGTTTAGGGTTTATGGTTTAGGGTTTATTGTTTAGGGTTTTGGGTTTAGGGTTTAGGGTTTAGGGTTTAGGGTTTAGGGTTTAGGGTTTAGGGTTTAGGGTTTAGGGTTTAGGGTTTAGGGGTTTAGGGGTTTAGGGGTTTAGGGGTTTAGGGGTTTAGGGGTTTAGGGGTTTAGGGGTTTAGGGGTTTAGGGGTTTAGGGGTTTAGGGGTTTAGGGGTTTAGGGGTTTAGGGGTTAAGGGGTTTAGGGGTTTAGGGGTTTAGGGGTTTAGGGGTTTAGGGGTTTAGGGGTTTAGGGGTTTAGGGGTTTAGGGGTTTAGGGGTTTAGGGGTTTAGGGGTTTAGGG